CGCCGCACCGCACTGCACCGACGGACGCGTCGCGTTCAGATGGTCGTGTCGGTGCGGCTGCACTACGTTCATTTGGGACTTGGTGCGGCGCACGACACCGGCGCGTTGCTGCACCAGCTGCACCGTCGAAAGGAGACCGTGCAGCTTCGCGCACTGCGGGCCGGCGCGGCCTTGAGCTACCGCTCTCCGCCTGCTTCGGCCCCTTCTTTCCCTCGCTTCGTCTTCCTCGTCTCGGTAAACATGGCGGCTCGGGAGACTTTCGCTAGATGGCGCGCGCCGCCGCCCCACTCGCGGCGGATTTTGTTCAATGGTCCACCCGTTTATACTTTGTCCTTGAAGTGACCGCGCCAAGCGCGTTGCACGGCGGAATGCTTCGTGTTCACTTGGTAGTGCGTCATACGCTGCACCCGCGCGGTGGCGCGGCCTTGGGGGCAGCATTTTCTCGGTGCTGCGTGCGCCCCAATTGAATGTGACATAAGTTGTCCGCACTCGTGTTAAGACCAACATGAAATTTTCTCGTGGTGAGCTTTTGTCCGGGTCTGTGAAAATATGGGTGAGCTTTTGTCCGGGTCTGTGAAAAGATGGGTGAGCTTTTATCCGGTGAGCTTTTGTCCGGTGAGCTTCTGTCCGGTGAGCTTTTGTCCGGGATTCAAATAGAAGAGGGAGGCAGACAAAGCGCTACAGTCAACTGACGTTTAATGCTACAGGAAGAGAAAGATAACAAAAGACGTGAAGACTGCTACCAAATACGATATAGCTTCGCCAGTACTGGAAACTAAACTCCTCCGAAAACCTATGGTAGCGGCGACGAACGTGACAGTGGCGCCTCTTGCAGACTTGGCGTCACAGAAGCAGACGACGCAATGGAAAAGTATAGGCTCTGCGACGTCCTCGAGCTTTGCGAGCCCCGTTTCTTCACCCCAACAGCTGAAACAATTCATTACGGTCAACCCGTTTGCAAAGCGGAATCCACTGATTGCTACTGCAACGACAAACAAATAACAGCGCGCGCATAAACGGAGATAGAGCAGTTTATTTAGAGGTCTCAAACGCCACTCAGGGGGATTCCACGTGTTTGAAGCGCATCCGGGAAGCGGGAAAAAAGCGTTTAGCCACTCGTACTACGTCGTAAGAGGTTACTGTTTATCCGTTACAAATTGCGTTGTCACAATTTCTTACCTGAATAGGTGATTATTATAATCGTGCGCAAACAATATGTTAAAATTACCAGAGCAAATGTACCAGTCTCTACGGCATTACAAAAAAACAAAAGTAACAAGAAAAATGACCGTTCAAAAACTTTCTTATTTTTGCAGGAAATATGGGGTTCCCATCTCAAACGAAAATAAAAAGAAATGTAGAACAGTAGCGAACAGCGGCCGGCGATTGCAAAGAAGAAGTTAGCAGACGATACAAAAATACAAATCACCCAGCCAAGACCTCCTTCAACGACTCCGATAGCACGGGACGTCGGTTGAAAATTAGCAGGGGGTGGTCGCCCTCGGTATTGAGTCCAAAACAAGCAAAGCGGAAGCAACACGACGAAACTAAAAAAAAAAAAAAAAAAAGATTTACTTTTTTTTTTTTTTTTCAGCTGCACGTTACACGTTTATTTGCTTTTGCGGCGTTGGGAGGAACTAAGAACAAAAGAGGTGCAATCTGCTACGTGCTAGCAGTGTGTGACCTTTTCTGCTTTTGCTTTTCTTTTCTCAGTGACTTTGGTAGGTTGTTTGTTTGCTCGCTTGGCGCAGCAGTTCAAAAGTACATTCCAGTACTTGTTGGCGTACATGTCTAGGCAATCCTTGCACATCGTGCTTTTGTTTTGAGTGTCGATCAGCGGCCCCAAGTGCGTTTTCAGCTGAATTGTTTTTTGGTGAAATATTCGTATGTTGAGGCGTCAGCGGTGATTTAGAAGCCAGACTTGGATAGCTGTTTCAGTTTAATTCGAAGTAACTTAATTACTCACGTTTGTTCGGTCTTCGGGAAGCGGAAGAACGATTTTCCACCACATCAGAAAAACTGGTTTTCGCAGTGGAGATGGCAGGCACATGGCACGACTGCCATCTCCAAGTATGGGCTTATCTATGCCCGAAGGCGGCCGGTTGATCAACCAACAATGACTCATAGCAGACGTGACCGCGTACTCAAATAAAATCCAAATACAAATGTATAACGAGCTTACACTTCTTAATATATTTATGAAGTATCAAAAAGTACAAATGAAGATTTCGGATCAGAAACTCAATCGAAATCGAACATAGGAGGTTATCATAGACGATAGTGGAAAAACAACAACAAAGTTGCAGACGGCCTTCCAAATGTCCAGGCATAGCGTAGAAGACGAACCGGTGGTAGTAAGCGACGAAGCGAAGGAAAGAAAGTAAAACCTAAGCCAAACAAGGGAAAGCAAAATACGCGATGGTTCGAACGTCAAGTAAGCACAAGAAAGAAAAAAGCAAACAAAAACATAAACGCAGGAGGAAGAAAGACCGCGGCGGCGTAGCGTCGCCTCAAACATAAAAAGAAAGTAGACTTTGAAAAATGGAAGGAGGTGCACGACCGTCCATCGGGTGTTCTTTTTTGTAACTCCGCTTTTATTAGTTTCAGTAATAGCGTCAGATTTGCATATGCACAATCGTCTTTTACCAGGGCATACTGACGTCGCAGGAAGGTACGTGGTTCGAAATTGCTTTTTGCTTCTTCATCCAGAGACGATCGGGATATAGCTAGCTCGCCTATTCAACGAAACGGTTTTAAGCAACACAATCATGAGAAATTGGAATTGCAACAACAAAAAGAACTGGTCGGTATGCACAGTAAAGTTGAATTGTAGCAACGTTCTAAAACATTTTTTTATATTGCCCTTTTCAAAGAAACAGGGCGAAGGTACATTCGTGTCTTGCGTGGCAGACATAAGTTCTGAGTCTTCGGACGGAATGTTTTCTTCGGGAGAGCCCGAAAATTGTACCCTACAAGCTGTAACATTCTCCCCTCGCGAAGAAAATGTCCTTGACTCATGAGGTGGAACCAACTTTTTAACACTCTCGCCTTCTAAAAGTAATTTTCTCGAGGTATCACAACAAAGCTTCCTTATTTGTCAGACACTAGTATGTTTAAGTCGTTCGCTTGGAAGCAATCAACTAAACGTGTAATTACGATCTTCGTTTCACTAACAGGACCAGTTTTTGCCAGCATGTCTACACAGTCTTCGATATATCGGGGTCTGTCAACTTCTTGGGCCTTAACCGACATGTCGTGGATATCCGACAATAGCTGTACTCTCTGTCTGTTTGCAACCACGCAAAAAAAAAAATGGGACCTTTCTTTTGTATCATGTTTAGTTCTACTGGGTTAAAAACGTCTCCCAATGTGTGATATGAAGCCCAAATATACTTAGTCGCCGTACTTGCAGTGTCCAGAAAGACCCTGTATCTTGCAGTGTCTGAGAAGGCCCTGTATCTGTACTGCCTTCGTTTTCGACTTTTCTTTGCTGTCTTGCGCTATCTAATTTATAATATGTTGTACCAACTAGCCCAGCAGATGATCTTGATATCCATTTTTATAAATGCATCGCACAGATTGTTTGACATGCCTACTATTTATTGGGATTTGAATTGATATAATTTGTTGGTCTAGATGTTACTTTTTTGTGTGCAATGCTTTCTTCCTTTTAAACACGCTATGATTATTCATGGCATAATGGCGTTTCTCAATAGGCGACTGCTTTATTTGTAACAGCCTTCACGGACTGACAGTATGAATAAGATGAATTAAACGAAAGCGACGAGCTTGAGTGCCAGCGTTGAACTGCGACTTTGAACTTATCTTTTCTATTGTGCGTAATACACTGGGTGAATCAAGCGAATAAATATACAATGATCTTAAAATAAAAGATAACATTTGCAGCCCAACGTCCACTGCGTACGGGACACTGAAGTTAATCGAGTGATCATTGGCGTGCGCACCGGACAGCATTGGTCAGAACTCGGGGCCTCGATATGAAAATTTGCACTCTGCTTTTATATGTTGTTTTCACCAGTTCGGGCCTTCTCAAGAACCCGTGGTTGATTTGCTCTATTCTCTGTCCACTCTTAAGCGCGAGTGAAGCCATGACAAAAAAGCGAGCACCTAGTTTTTGTTGTAATAAGCATTGAACATAAAAGAAGCTTCTCCTTCAATCCATTTCAACGTAGCACGATAATCATACCTTATTGTTACCCTTATTAGTATGAAATATTGAGTATAAACAGTATTCAGTGTAAGTTTAATTGATATTCATGAGGTTTCCGACCTAACAATTTGAACCACATTTTTTTTAATACGCGGGCTTTACCTTTTCCAGCATGCTGTTCAGTAATTGCAAATTCAAAATTGTTATTGATAAAATGGCATATGAAATTGATGTCAAGAGAAACATGTGAATTTTCATGCGCTTTCTAGTAACGTGACGCCAGATGATGTAGAACTTGCATGTCGAGCAGGCAGTTTAGAAACACGGTACGTCGCGAATGATTGTTTCGTTCTTCTGGAATGAGTTTTTAGATCATTTATCTTACGCCATAAACATCTTGCAACCCGTTGAGAACAATTTCCGCAGCGGAGATACTAATACCTCCCGTAACTTTTTAAATGCTGGCAGTAGTGCCTTTCACAAAAAAAAAATCAAATTAAAAAAAAAAAAGTTCCGCTGAAAAGAGTAGTATGCGATAATATTTGGGTTAATAGTTCAACCGTCTTTATGGATGTGTTGAACCAATTTTAATGCAAATCAACAACAATACAACTTTCACCGGATTTATTTAAAAGAACCATGATGTGTGTTAAAAGGGAGACTTAAACACATTTCATGTTTCTTCTATATATAGGCGAGAGACGTGCACAAATATTTTTGCAATTTACGAGTTTTTTATTAAAGAGGTGAAAAAGTAAAGTCAACCTGTCATTTAAGATTTAACTTAACCGGCCGCTTTTCTTTTATTATACGTATATTCTTTGAAGAGATGACTATAACAAGGTTTCTGCAGGCTAATCTGGGCAACCTGAATCGTCTTTCGGACCAGCTGCCCATGATCTTCGCTAACATGGCCCTTCTTCAGGTAGGCGGGGCACCCCATATCTACTCAGTCTTTACAATACTCAAGGTAGTCGATCCAATAAGTACAGTCCCGGTGAGTACCCAGCAGGTATCCTGGCGAAGCGGGTCGTACACTGCGCGGCACTCTTAGCACCAAAAACGACTTAGTCTCTTCCTGGCATTTTAATTAGAAAGGTTCCTAGCGGGCATCCAAATTTCCCATCTATATGTTAGTACCCCAACCGAGCACTTTCCATCCATCACTATATCAGTTTTCATAACAGTCAAACAAACCTGAAGAAAAAAAATTGACGATGGCTGTTCACGCTAGCAGTATCTCGGAGTGCGCGTAATATATCTATCGAGTGAAATTTAAGCGCTCCATCCAGGCGTGGTAGTTGAAGTAAAAGCCACAGGCGGTTAAATATTGCTGGTACAATCAGGGTGCTTAAAGTGTTTTCACCTGTCTATAGTAACTTCATTTTCTTATTTACACGGCGTTTTTTTTGTTTGTTTTTTTGTTTTTAAGGCGAAAGCTTTAAAAAAAACATTACGCGGAAAGGCGTCGGTGTTGTCCCCAGAAGATGGCCATAAAAAAAAAAAACCTATTATTATAAGTATTTGACACCGGTTATCACGCAATACCAGCAAAAAATTGGCAGGGACACTTAAATGTGTTTACGTGTAGGAATGCGAAAGCATTCGTACACGCAGCCCGCCACGTCTTCCTTTCGCACACGGCGCTCCGGCGGTGACATCACGCTCTCCCACTGCGCAGGCGCGGCGTACCCCGCTGGCTTCATGACAAAGCATCAGAGTTGCTGTGCTTTTCGTTGCGTTTTATTTCTGAGGTGCGTGCTTAAATTTAGGTGCCGCTTCGCTCAGCCAAATATTTAGGTGCTCAGCCAATGGGACTTTTAGATGCCGTTTTTCGCTGCTACAGACAACGCCGGCTTTTCTCCATGGGACAGTTAACGCTTTCACATTATTACGTCATCGAACACGCGCAGCTCAAGGCCAAAGCTGACGCACCTCAGAAATAAAGCACAGAGGAAAGCGCAGCAACGCAGATGCTTCGTCACGGAAGCCGCGATGCCGGAGGGTTCGCCGCGCCTGCGCAGTGGAGGAGCGTGATGTCACCGCTGCCTCCGGCGCCTCAGTTGCGCTTCGGACTTCACCTGTGCTCGTTGCGTGCTTTGTGCTATTGGCTGTGAGGTGACTGTGTCTACATCTACGGCATCGACATCGGCAGCAGCGTGTACACCTACGGCAGCACACCAAATACAATACCGGAAGAAACAACTTTAATACGTGTCAAAACATTACTCGTAAACGTTTCACCAGCGGGACTATAATGCTTTCGCATTCCTACACGTAAGTGTCTATAGTGTCTTCGCCCTGTTTTTTGTTCCATCTTTGCTGAGTGACAGTCAAATAGGTTCAGGCGATTTCAGAGCATATTCCCGTGATCGTATGTTGTCGGCTAACCCGCTACAAAGAAGGACACCATTTTAAAAAAGAACAACATTGCGGTTTCCAATCAACACAGTAAGTATAACAACAATCGTCTCCCTCACAAACACTCCACCACCTCAGTAAAGCACGTTAAAGTTGTGAGACACGTAAAGTCTTTGCCGGACAAGGGAATCAACTCATCTATTGGCCATGCGCGCTGTCGTAAGCGACGATGAAAGCGACGACTGGTTTTTTCGTGTAAAGTGTAACAGTGAGAAAAATGTAATATAGTAACCGTGCATGCGACCTGGTGAATGTTAACCAGGAGATGTCTCCGGGTATGGCTTTAGTAAGAAGATATGTGGACGACATCATAGTACGCACGGCAACGGATAGTCTAATGGCGAATTCGAGTGGCCAGTGGTCGGCAACTTATTTTGCCGGAAAACCGGCGAATAGCGATCGCGTGGTCAGTTTCCGGCCGGCACGCAAGAGTTCGTGTGGGGGTTCTCCGGCAAGCACCGGCAACCTACCGGCGCTTTTTCCGCCCGAGCTCCAAGCGGCCGGGTGAGCAAGCGCCAGACTGTATCCGCTGTCGTCACTTCCGAAATGGAAGAGAAGGTCAGTGACAAAAAAAAAATGAACAAAGAGAGGCGGGTGCTGAGGGTCACCTGGTGTGCCGCCGGTGCATTTCTAAATTGCCGGTTTCGCCGGCTCGGTATCGCCGGCGATTGACTATCCCAATTAGCCATAACAGGCAGTCTGGAACGTGAGATAAGATCAGCAGCTCCGGAATTGAAGTTTACCACAGAAAAACCTGAGAGAAAAGTCCTGAAGTTCCTGAACTTAATGTATTCATGTGAATCAAGGGTTATGTCGGGAATACGGAAATGAAAGTTCTAAACCGGTGTTGCCAAGGATTAGCTGTCATTCTAAAACCGTACAAGCTGGGGTTGTAAAGTCGTTGGTCCGAAACGCCTCAGACAGATGTGTTCATATTGTCACGAATTCGGTTGAAAGACAGTGCAAAATGTTGAGCAGTGTAGGGTACCAAGACAGCTTTATCTAATGGCAGTTAGAAATGGTTATCAAAGGAAGGAGAGAAACGGAGCAAGGTGAAAGGACCAGATTAGCTGTGATCCCATATTTTCATGAAATTCCTCACAACTTGAAGGCATGTGCGAAAAAGGTAGGAGTAGAGACAGTCTTTAGCTCGGATTTTAAACTCAGTAGGTTGACGCCAATTCAAACGGGTGTGAATAACTGCAAAAAGAACCATCGGGAAAAATCAGTAAATTGCGAGAATGGTGTTGTGCATGAGATACCACTGGAATATGGGTTTAAGTATGCAGGCCAGACGTCACGTTGCATCAACGACAGATTAAGTTAACACAAAAGAAACGTGAAAAACAATGCCCCGAACGCAAAAATCGTAAAACATGCACTCTAAGAAATGCCTGGGCGTCTACTTACCCCCAAAACATTCGAAGAGCCAATGTGTGCGCTCTACGAAATCAGCTCAGCGAATGATGAGGCGGAACATCCGTTTCGACCTCAAAATGAAGTCTGCGCTGCGGCATCACGCAATGCAAAGCGTCATGCTTGCATTGCGTAATGTCACGGCGCAGACTTAATTTTGAAACCTAAACGGATGTTCCGTCTCATCATTCGCTGAGCTCATTTCGTAGATCGCAGACGTTGGCACTCTGAGTGTTTTGCGGGTAGGTAGACGCCCAGGCATTTCTTAGACTGTGTCCACGGATGTAGCAACTGAACTTCGATTTGGGTGAAAACAGAAATCATTCACAAGGAGAGGAATGATGCAAAAGGAATAGTAAGGGAGACGGTGCGGATAAAATCTCTAGGTAATTGTATAAGGCAGGTTTCGTTACAGTTCGGTAAAAATTCCAAAAGCTTTTTAAAGATATTATTTTTTTCCTTGGGACGGGATGTGTGTATTGCTTATCTTTGCCCCGCCTTCCAGGTTCAGTGTGTGTCATCCCTTCGTTGCTGGCATAGAATTAATTTTTTTTGTCTTTTTTTTTTTTCAGTGGAGCGGGCATCGTTTTTTGTGTGAGCCTTGGTTAAGATAGAATAGGTACTGATATTTTTGTTAATTTTGGGAGGAGATTGTGGAGTTATCTTTGCGAGTCAGCCTGAAGGCCGTTCATAGTACTACTTCGTGTATTAGAGGGTTTGGCGCTTGTACTGATTAGAGGTTGCCCCTTTGTGTTGGTGGTGGCTGATTGTGGTCTATATTAGGAGGCGGACTAAATAAACCTCGTAGCTGAGTCAGAGACGTCGTCCTGTCGTTTTCTGTTCCTTCGGCTGATATATTCATTTCTGCCCCAGTCTCAGGTTTATTCAACATTTCAAAATGTTATTCGTCTTTTTCGCTAAATTTAGCGAATAGGTTAGACACAAAACGCGTTTTCTGAGTATTGGCCTTTAAGACAAGTTTACGACCCCGAAAAAGGCAAAAGTGGTCTAAAGTCGCTAAGAAGCATACACACCGATACACATCTGAAGGATTGGATGCGCCAAAAACTCAGAGGCTTAGACAGATTCACGAAGCAATCTACGCCTCTCAACTTTCTGCGAAGAATGAAGGTAAGCATACATTTCCTACAAAAGTATTATCAGATAGCACATTCTGTTTAAAACAAATAGGCATACTAAGTCTCCTGGAGCGTTATCGTGGTTGCGGGCTATCAACCCCTTCGTTTTGACCAAACCATAAGATGCGGGGAAGCAGAAAAATCTGCGTATGTCGTAACGACTTGTCGGATGGCTTTCGTGTTTTCTCGCCTTTAGTCGCATTTTCGGCAAAAAACGGCCTTGACATTCAAATTCACGAGACAAAAATACTCTAGTATTCAACTCTAACCCGTTCTTTTCAAGAACCTCTTAAGCTAACATTTTTGTGAAAAATCTGAGACTGGAGCATTGACAGACGACCATAAGGAAGAGAAGGAGAACGACTCTTTAGCTACCCGTTAAGAAAAAATAACCAGATTTTCGGATTTAAGAACATCATTTAAATTTTATTTAGCCACTGCCCGAAAAAATAAAATCGCCCATTTTCCCAGCTATCGTGCCAAAAGGCGGCGGTAACAAAAATTGTTATGCAGCGTTGAAATCGATGCGATGGCGGGACCGCCGCTTTTGGCGCCGCGGAAATTCCGACACCGTAACTCCAGGAATGAGATGTGCGCGGAGCGCAAGTTCGTCTGCTCTTTGCGCAGGCGTTAGACGGACGTCAGAACGTCGAGCTCTGATTGGCTCCAATGAAGCTATAGTTGGTATACCGCAATGCTATCTGCCTGGAGACATACCCCCTATCCTTCCAATCGGAGCGAATCAGAGATCGGCGTTCTGACGTCACAGCAACCTCCGCTCAAGAAGCAGGCGAAATTGCGCTCAACATAAAGAACGTCTATGAAATAGAAGCGCCGAGCTGCGACTTTTTTGCGCACAACCCTATCCTGAAAGAGCAAAAAAAAATACGAGGAAATTAAAACAGAATAACGCGCGAAGTCGGCTTTAATGCTAAAAGCCCGGAGCTCGTTTGCTTATAGCGTGATTAGATTCCGTCGTTGGCGTCGTTCTATGTTTGATTGCGTGGTGAGACTCGCGGGGGTAACTCGAATGTACTCGAGTAAGGCGTCGCGTAACTTAGATTTACTGTGTAGCGCGGAAAAAAGACGACGTGACAAGCACGCGAGAGGAATGTTCGAGCTCATCCTCGGCCAATGTTACTAGATTAGCTCAGTTTCGTAACTGCCCATAGCCGCTGCTTCGACGAAAGAAAGAAAGATTAGTACCCACCTTTCCCCACACAGCCTGCCTCCCGTCGTTCGATGGGCCAGTGTTTTGATATCCGCTAGTATAACAACTGCGGTGTACTCAATACAATACATATATGCTGAAGCACAGCATCTAGATAGCACTTCACCATACACTATGAGAGACACTGTTTTAAAACCAAAATCAAATGGCGCTTCAAATGGCGGGAGGCGAAGTGAACACTCTCAAGAAAAAAGGGTGTCAGATGGTGTATTCTTACACCCTTTGTCCCATATAATACACCCCAGAATTTCAATTCAACGTACAGTGCCCTACAGTCGAACATTGGGCCCGAAACTTTACGAGGGGCTTGATAGCCGTGTGGTACAACATTTTAAATAGCTAAAGTACGTATCAAAGACCACATAAAGAAAACACCGAGCTTTTACAGTAGGGCCAAGAAAACCCGAATTATTTTTTTCGTGTTCACTAAAACGTACATTAGCTATTTTAATAAGTTGTACCACACGGCTTTCAAGCCCCTCGTAAAATTTCGGGCCCAATGTTCGACTGTAGGGCACTGTACGTTGAATTGAAATTCTGGGGTGTATTATATGGGACAAAGGGTGTAAGACTACACCCTTTGACACCCTTTTTTCTTGAGAGTGAAGGAATGAGGGGAATGTCGACCCCCCCCCCCCCCCCCCCCCCAAATTCCCTTCACCCATCCGCTGGTATTTCATATCTCAGCTCACCTAGTTACGTTGTTCTTGGACGATTCTCTTTTTGGGTACCCGCCAACAACACAAGGACGACAACAAGAACTGACAAACGCTGCGTTTGGCTAGGGTAGCGTAGAAGGACTGTTCAAGTTGCATGTGACTACGCATATCAAACTCCTAAAGTTGTAGCTTGAGAAGTGTGCTCTTCCGAAAAGCAAGCATTGCCTCCGTTTGTGCTGCCTATAACATTGGCGTTTGCACGTTGCCCCCAGTGCCAGTCGACGGTGGCCACCCTGGTTGCCTGCCTCCTGGCCATCTTCAAGGGCTTGGCGTTCAACGAGGACTTCGAGCTGAGCAACGTTGCCTTCCTGGTAGCTGGAGCCCTGGCAGCCATTAACCTGGCCACTTTGTTGCTCAGTAGGTAGGCCGAGAGCCGCCGTATACACGTCCACTCCAGCTCTTAACTGTGGACACTTGCATTCCTCCAACATTTGTTCATAGAATGAGTCTTCAATATTACTGAGACACAAATGCATATATTTACCCAATTTGTCCCCGAAAGTTTCTCTCTGTATGTAGTATGGTATCCATATTTAGCGGGTCTATATTAACGAGACATGACTGTATATGCAACATTCAATGACCAGGCGGCACCAACAGAGTAAAAGCCCTCGTGTGTACCCTGGTTCAGCGTAACTTGTCAGAATACAAATGCCCTGTATGGGCTCCCGGAGGGTTCGCAATACGCTTCGCAGTACGTGTCCGGTAACGCTTGATGCGAAGTATTGCGTTGAGAGTAAAAGCGCACCCCGCGGAACGTTGTCACACGTCTTACTCGGGTGCCCTGTTTGGCAATCAAGGCCGTAGCTTTCGCTCTATTGCCAAGGAATACGCCCAGGCCTTCCTGGTATATAGACTATTTCTGAACATTGGGACCCACCGCACCTCTTATGTTACTTTGCGTCACGGTTACTTCAGTACTGAACAAAAGAAACAGCACTCGGTAACCTATGCGATGGTCCGCATGGATGTAGATTTTAGCATAGTTATCGCGAAAAGTACATTCCGGCAGGTTTCAAGATATAATATAATACTGCATTACAACACACACAAGCGCCACACAACGCGACTACAACAGAGTGACATATACATAGTGTTTTTGTGTCATCTCCAACAACGAAACACATCACCGAAGAAGGCATTTCCCTACAATAAATCTGCGAGGATGGTTCTTTTAACACGGCCATCTGATATGAGAGTAAGACAATTGAGCAGCTTGACTGTTTTCGGGAATTATTGATACTTATCTATAGAAGAGTTCAATCTAGCAGCACTCAAAATATGCACAAACCGAGCAGTATGCCTGTATGCGGGGATACATCTTATTCTAAAATGGTTTTAGCTGCCTTCTCATCCTTTATGCTATAAAAAAATACGAAGCCTTTGACAAATTCCAGGCAGCATCATGTCTGCGGTGGTGATCTTGAGCAAGAAGTACGAGAAGAACCCGGAAAACATCGCGCCAGCCATCGCCGCCTCCTTCGGCGACCTAACCACTCTCGCTCTGCTCGCCACCAGCGTAGTGCTGCTCCAGGATCACCGAGGTAATCCCTGGTGGTCAATTCGTCTGGGCCCGCATCGCACCGGTCCAGTGCGGTTCGTGGTACAGGGAAGGCTAAAGGGGAGAGGGGAGCTTCCTTCTCTTTCCGCCAGCCTTCCGTGCACTAAAGTGGAAAGAGTTTATTGTACTGGACGGGTGTGGTGTGCCCCAGACGAATAGGCTATATGTTCGCCGGTAGCGCTTGCACCGGGCTCCTTTTTGTGTCGCATTGGCGATTCTCATCACGTGTTGTCAAAACCCAACTTAAAAAAAAAAAGATTCAAATTTGTACAGCTGCAAGTTGATGGACTCGTTTAGGTCATGTGGGTTTAGGGGATCGGGTATTCTTTTAATACGAATATTCGCTTGATACGTGTAACCGTTCAATAGCAGCACCCGTTTGATACGGCATTTGTTTGGTACGAACGAAAGTTCGATAGAAGTTCATAAAGGCTGTTGTACCAGACGGCACCCGTCTGATACGACACCCTTTTTGTACAGCCACCGGGTACTCAGGCGAATCTTACGCTACCATCAAATGGATACCTTCTGAAACTGGTCGACTCAGCAAACGCAAATAACAAGCCCTTGAAATTTTCTTCCACAGACTAATTTCATTACAATAGCTCGCTTATGAGAATGCACTGCAGTATCCGTTCTTTCTACCTTGATAATCCTGCATACGCAAAAATTAAAAAAAAAAAGTTGAAGTGAACAATCCATACATCTGTATATGCGCTATATTGCGCAAGTTTGGTTCTCGGAGCCAATTCGCCACGAAGAGGAGTGGCGTTGTTTTTGTTTCAACTGAAGTGTTTGAATGAAATAAGAGGGAGCCAGGCGAAAAGGCCGACCGCGTAACAGCAACCCCGCAGCAGATCACGTTAACCGCTACGACAGGTTTGAATGCTTTCTGCGCCCGCTGTACGCAACTCTCGAAAGTAATTACATGGACCGTAATAACTGTATGTGTGTGGTTGGGGTGAGGGGGACACGCGGTGTCATTTGCTTCGATAACTTGCAATAAACAAAACGCTGCTGTTTCACCTTACGTAGAACCGCTTTCTACCTTTCAAGCCATCGGAGCAAATCCAAAGCCGTCTGAGTGTCACGTACGGACCTCATAAAGTAAACAACGAGGCTTAGTCGCGTGATACGCCTACACCGCTGATTGACTAAGATGGCTCGTAGCGTCTGCTGTGGTTCATCAGAAGGGAAAGCGGAGCATAGTTACGACAAAGGGGAGATACGTCTTGCAGCAGTTTCCCGAGAGCCTGGTTGGAAGTGGTTTGTAGAGGGCATCGTTCAGACGTCCGAACGGCGTTTAGTCTCAGCAAAATTTCTCCGAGAGCGGGATCGCTCTCTCTCTCTCTTTCTCTTATCTGGTGGCGAAGCAACAGTATAACGAAACTGCTAACCGGTTTGATAGAAGTGCTCACCGGTTTGACCAAACCGGTGAGCAGTTTCAGACCGATTTGCCACACCGCTGTGCGGTGTGCATGGATCAGTATACCGCTACGCTTAATCCTGCGAACAGTTGGACTGAACTGCAAAGCAGCTTGACCAAACCAGTGAGCAGCTTGAAACCGGTCAGCCACGCCCGTACGGCCTTTATGCGATGTAAAGAGGTTCGCATACAGCTACGCTCGAGCATGTTGACAACGTGACTAGGCCTGTGAGCAGTGTGAACAAACCGGTGAGCTGTTTGAGTAAACCGGTGAGGCAGTATTGTTATACCGCTAAACAAATGTTCGAACCAATTGCCGAACAGGCAACAATATGGCCCTGTTGCAATTTCAAACTTTTTTTTGTCGGCAAAGACTTACATTTTTGGCTTCGCCTTTAGACCACTAGGCTCTGAAAATATTTGATACGCTCGAGAAAGCAGGCAAGCGAACTTGCCGCCAAAGCTTTCTGCTCGAGCCACTGGGTGCCGTCGATTTCGCTGGAGTCGCCAATAAACCCCTCTGCGCCCAGATGGAGGTTCCGTCCACCGTTAGATGTCCGTTTGCACTACTCAGTTTAAGGGTGTACCTTGAGCCATGGAAAGAGCTTAAAGTATATTGATATAAAAGAAACAACATATTTTTTACCTACATTGGATGCACTTTTTTTTAAATTCTCTAAAAAGAAGATTGTACGAGAAAAATACTCGCGCTGCTATACACTATTTAGGTGGAGGTGCCGACCCCCTCTATAGGCCCCGCCACAGAACGGTCGCTTCGCCCATTACTACGAAACTCGCCTGGCTGCTCCGTTTGAACACGCTCGCAAGCCTACTGCCGATCCCTGTCGTGACGTCCGGGGCGTCACCTCTGCGTCTGACTCTGACGCTGTCTGCTAGTCGTGCATGTAGGCGCGCGGCAGCGTATGAGGTTGCCTCATAGGACGCACTCGACTACCTCCTTCAACGCAAACGGGACCATGAAGGCGACGCTTTAGCGTTCCATGCTGCACGAGCCACGGTCCAATGCAAGTGTCTGTCGGCATCTGTTAATGAGCACTAAAAATCATCCCGAAAAACTAAAAAAAAAAGCAATTGCAAGAAAATAAATAAGCAGATCTTTCAAGTTTTATGTTGAAAGATCTGCATAAAGATTAGACCCTTTTCGAAAGTCGTCATTTGTTTATCATTACTTGATCAGATACCCTGAGCGTGTATTGAACGCGAGTGCTACGTCAGCTTCGCCATTTCTTGTGCCCAAGAAAAGGCGACTATAATTGTTGCTCGGTGGACTTTTGAAAAGGGTCTATGAAAACGCGAACTAAAAAATATTCATTTGGGCAAGCCAAGTGTGCCGCCCAGAACTTGAGAGCGGCAAGCCTCTCGAAGCGAAATGACGGTAGGTCTAGAGACGGTCACGAGTGCCGCGGGAGGGAGGACGCGGCTCGTCTCACCTTTATCAGGTCACCTGCACTTTTGGCCGATTCCGCAATCAGAGACAAGCACTCTGAAGGTGGGAAGACAAAAGAGAGGAGCGCAAGACCTCGGCTTGCCGTGGCCCGAGCAACAAGAAGATAACTGGGACACGGTCTAGGGCCAGGGAAACACTCGAAGGAAACAGGCGAAAGAAATGAAAGGGCGTTTACAATTCTTTGTAATACCGAATTAGAGCGCAGCTCTTGAGGAGGAGGAGGGGAGAATACGGGGGGAGGTATGCCCCTCCTCCCCTCCGTACCATGCCCTCCTCTGCTCCTGCTTCCTCCCATTGAGCGGGAAATTTAGCGAAAAATGTTCCACCTAAACTTAGCGGGAAAGCTGACTTGCTGTTGAGGTCATGTGACGTCAATTTACACAACTAAATTTAGCGCGGAATTTTTTCCTTTAAATTTAGCGGAAAAGAGTTTTCGCTAAATCTCACGTGACGTCACATTCATTCACATGACGTCACATGTGACGTCACGTGTGACATCACGAGGGCAAAATTTCCCGCTAAATCTGGCGGGAAGTTTTCCGCTAAATTTAGCGGCAAACTTTTTACGGGTTGAGTGGCGTCACGTATGACGTCACAAGGGTAAAAGTGGCATCGCACGTGCGACGATACGCGTTGAGTGGCGTCGCGCGTGACGTCACGTGTGACGTCATTATGGGGAACGTCGCATAATTCAACGCCCGGTTGCGCTGACGGCGGCGGCGACGTCGCTTAACCCGGAAACGGGCGCCTAAGAGCTGCGCTCTAAAAAGACAGGCAGTAGCAGGAGCGAAATGGGCGGCTCCCGGGGCTAGACATAAAGAGGCCGTCAACGGTGCGGTACCTCACACGGAGCCTGCAAGACTGCGAGCTGCGAAGAAAAAAAATAGAGTAGCGGCCAGCGCTACACAGCTGCAAGTAGCCTGCCCTTAACGCAACTGCAGCTACCGGAATACAGCAGCAAGGAACCTACCCTCGACGCAGACCCTGACCACGAGAACGCACCGTCTCGCCTCCCAGACTTGACGAGTAACCTCGGACCGGCAAAAGCTGGACTTCTGAAAACGATCCCGACAGCCAGAGAACCAGTGAGCTTCGATCGACCACCCGTCCTTCATTAGTAATCAATGAATTGTTATTTCAATTTGAATTTTTCAATTTCTTTGTGGTTTCCTTATTATTTTATTTAAATGCACAATCATTGCTTAGACCCATAGCCGTGAAGCCTAGTGCGAATGCAACATTAGAAATAACCTTTACGATGCGGCAAGTAATAAAAAAAAATGTACGCACACGTCAATGTATACACGCAGCAATATACATATACATTGCAAAGTATAGACAGGACATATGAAATTGAACTTATTCATTGGCTTGCAAATTAATTAGATATTTTTTTAAGCATGTCAAAAGGCTGGATTTACATTTTATGTCGGTAGGAATATCATTCTATAATAGGGCATAGTTGAATTCAATAAGCCTTTCTCCATTAACTGTCCTACAAGGTGGCAAATTAAACAGGTTATTTGTTGCGGCCTTCGCACTCCGTAATGCTAATTTAAATAGAAGTGACATCTGTTCGTTAGCCTCCTCATCCACTTTCGCCCAAAAGTAAACTTAAGACCAGTGTTAGGGCTTGCCAACTGTTAGAACGCTAACACACCTGGATAATCCTCACACTAGGGGAACACCCGATGACTTTGACTCAAAGGCTCGCAAATTCGTAACTCTAGGTATCCTCTTAGCACTTGAACCGTGGTCGCAGTCCCGAATGTCACACAATTCACAGAACAGCGTGGCCGCTTTTACAGGAACAGTAATCGCTCTTCAAATATCAAGACATCACAGCAAAACAAATCAAGCCAGATCGAGCAAAATAGTTGAGGTAGTACGCTAGGCTTGTGTCAATCCCACCACGAGAACAAGCATCCGCGCCACCCTTACTTAAAGCGTGTACTTTCGGCATATGTTTGCTGCAAACTATACGCCGGTTGACGAGTTATCGCTCTAATTAACTCAGTAAGCGCGAAACAAGTACACGGTGTATGGAACTTTTCTCCGCAAACACCCGCAGCCATGTTTTTTATTGTTT